ATATACATTAAAATTCTTGAGGGTGTGTGTGTGTGTATATGCACACACACACACACACCCTCAAGAATTTTAAGTCTGTACACACACAACTTCTAGTGCAACATCATTTATAATTATAAAATATCAGAAATGGCCTGAAATACAATTGAAGAATAGTTAAACTATGGTTCATTTACACGAGGGGATATTATGCAGCTGTGAAAAAGGATCAAGAAAATCTCTAGGAACTGATACGGAAGAACTTACAAGGGGCTGTCAAGTTCATTAAACAAAGTTCAAAAGAACTTACCTACTTATTCATAGAAAAAAAGAAATACAAGGAGCAAAGATTAGACCGAGAGAGTAACATACAGAATGTGGGTGTGAATAAGGGACAGGAATGTGGGAGGAGGACAAGGCAAGAGAGTAACAAGGAAGTAACATTTCTCCAGTAAGCTTTCTGTGTAGCTCTAGGATCCTATTGCAGCATTCCAAAGTAACTAATTAATTCAAATCAACCAGACTGTGAGAGGAACTCCAAATGGATCCCAACAATAACCACACTTTGGGGAGTTGGAAAACAGAATGAATCGAAGTGGATGTAGACCGGCATTGGAGTGTATGCTACAAAACTCAGGAGAAGTGGAACTGTGCATGAGATAGCACTCTAGAGCATGGTTATCAATTCCGAAATGAATGCATATGCTGGGAGCTAGCAATGAAGTACATACATTGTAAATAGTGAGAGCTGGATTTCTTACTGCTGGAGAAAGAAGTTACAAATACAGAAAAGGGGGAGAGTAGAATGAACCCTGTGGTATTGAACAGGTACCAACATGAAGTAATGGCTTTTAATATGTGTTCAGATAGAAATACAAATTGATAAAGGTAGGAGTCTCTCTCTCTCTCTCCCTCTCTTCCCCTCTTCCCCTCTTCCCTCCCTCCCTCCCACTCCCTTTCTTTTCTCCCTCTCCCTCCCTTCCTCCCTCTGTATGTGTATCTCTGGCCTCTACCTGCTGATCTGCTAAGAAAGCCTAGCAACAGTGACAAAAGTGTAATGACAAGTTAACAACCAACACACCTAAAGGTCGGACATTTGTGTCTCAATACAAGTTTCCCAGTATAAATAAGCAGGTCTCTTGGAGGAATGGTGATTTCAGACATGGGGCAAGGGAAGTATAAGATGAGCATGGAACATTTTGCATTGCCAAAAAAGTAAAGAAATACTCAAAAATGGGTGGCAGAGTGTCAGAACAGCATAGGAGCCAACTTAAGAAACTCTGATGACCAAATCTGGGACAATTTTCATAAAAAATAAGTAATATACTATAAGAAATAGAATAACTCTCTATGATTTCATGCTGATAAATAATTGAATAAATGAATAGGTAGGACACAAAGTGTAGCTTTTCCTGATGTTAAAATTCCAACACAAAAATGTGGAAGGGAAGCTGCAAATAGAAACCTTTTAACAAACACCACAATCATAATTACTATAGGCAGAAATAATCAGTGGATGCTAAAATTACACATGAAATATTGCAATGTGAAAGAGAATATTTGCAGCATAGGAAGTATTTCTCTGTAAGATATGTATACCTTCCAAAGGGAATAATAGTAACTGTAGCTTGGAGAAACATGGAAGACATCTCTTTAATCAAGTGATCAAAGGTAGCATGCTAAGTAGTCAGCTCTCCCATTGCTAGAACAAAATCCCTGGCTCCTGCAACCTGAAGGAGGGGAAGTTCATTTTGGTTCACCATTTCTGTAGGTTCAGTATGATCAGCTGGCTGAAAGGCAGAAAAGGCATGGTACATGGGTGTGGCAGGGGAAAACTGCTCACATCACGGTGACTAAAACAAAGCAGAGAGAGAAAGTAGCAGCCAAGATCGAGAATACACCCCTCCAAGCCATGCCCGCGGTGAGCGGCTTGATCTCACTGGGCCCCACCTCCGAAGAGCCATGAACTTGTCAGTGAACTAATTCAAAGATGATATAGCATCTCCACAAAACAGTCACCTTCCTAAAGCTCCACCTCTGTTGATGAGACTTTGAGGGACCTTGTAGGTCTAAACCGTAACACATGCAGACACATCACACACCTCCTGATAACATGCACCAAGAACCACATGTCATTTTTGTAACAATTTTGTGAAAAGCCTAAGTTCAACTTAATCATATGAAGACATCTAGCAAACTCTTTCATTGTATGACAACGTTCATCTGAATGGAGGAACCCTTACCTTTTGAACACTATGCGCAATTCTGTCTCTCCATTTCCTGTTTCCATTCCCATTTTACATTATTGAGTTTGGATCTCATTTTGTGTATACCGCAGTCTTTCTTACAGAAGCAAATTATCCTCTATAAACAATGCTGCCAAAAATATGAAAGAAGTGTCAGTACAGTAAGAGGGACCATGGAGAGAAAATATTTCTTTGTGGAAAGGAGGACTACACCAAAGTATTTAAAATGCTAACTCCAATCCAACCTCACCAGTTTGCTTAACTTTCATATCTGTGGAATTTTTATTGGGTAAAAATAAGAGATATTTTAAATGGAAGGAGCAACCTGAATTAAATTTGAGATTGATTAACCACTTAACAATGTGTGTGAAACATTTGATGGATAGATAATATTGGGCACTTTGGATTCGTGAGTTTGTATTCAAATAATTGGTAGGGTAATTAGATGGCGACACAGAGGTGAAAGTTAGAAAACACTGAAGTTATATGGGAATATAGTTTTGAGGGCTTGAACTTGTATAATGGGTGTGGAAATGGAAAAGGAAAGGGGTATGTGAAGGTGCAGGGGAATGTCAAGTAGGACTTGCGATCATTTGAAAAACGTTTTCTAAAAAGTTGTTGAAGCTGTATGGCCAGTAGTACCTGGGAGCCATGTGGGAGTTGGAAAATAATAACGTATGTATATATGTATCCACTTGTGCAACTATTACATTAATAGGAATTGCAGTCACTATTTTTTACGTCAATACCCTGTACTACCAGCAAGACCAAAATGTCACAGTCCTCTGTCTCCTGTCGCATTTGCACAGAATGGTGCCAGGAAAAAAGCTTATTTCTGCCTCCACCACAAGAAGGTTTGAGCTGTGTTTCTCCGGAATTCTTCACACGTAATAGAGGCAGTTTTGGTAGCCACAGCTGGATATCACTCTTCCATTTTTCTGATCTGTTTTCCAGAACGCCTGGTTCCTTGATATACGGCTACCATTTCCTGAGTTTTATTATTTCCTTTTCAGGTAGCCTGAGGAGCTATAAAGAGCATGCTGTTAGGAGTCCGATACATAAATTCAAGCCAAGTTCCACCTTTTATCAGCTGTCAGCCGTCTGACTTGGAGAGAGATTGCAATCTCTCTGCTCCAGTGGTAGATTCCAGGTTTAGTAAACAAAGTGCAGATGCAAGCTAAATTTGGATTTCAAATAAATCATTCGCTATCTTTCATATATGTATAAATGTATCTCAGATAATATCTGGGCATACTTACACTAAAAATTACATATTACTTACCTAAAATTTGATTTGGTGGCATTTTATCTGGCAACCCTATGCAATTATCATTTCTAATTATTATTAGAAAAATAACATTTACATTCTAATTAAGTTGGCAGAGAC